ATTAACTCCATTCTACCGAATTAGCTGCTCAACAATTTGAATGATATGAATTACCTACCTAGTACATGATTAATAATTTTACCCGAGTTTAGGTATAGATTTTGATAATTTTGACATTAGAAAAGACATTTCATTATACTCTGTCCAACCAAGCAATGCAGTGCTCCAAAACATTAACATGCCTAGTGCACGTGATCTCCCAGACAAGGCTGCTTGTACAGTCGCACTAAGAAACGATCGAAATTATTTTTTTTACTAAGATACGGCTGGGATTTTTTTTCAGGCGGAGTGTAAAGACACTAATCAGCAGTTTCTTCAGCCGTATCAGTACTTGACATTCCAAAAGATTGCGTTTCAAAACTTTCTTTTCAAATGTAACACGTCATAGCGGTAGTTAAATTGATGTCTACTTCTACGCTCTTTCATTCTTCATCAAAAGTTTTACCCGTATAAAGTGTTGGACAAGTCCAACTCCTATCCGACATTGTAGATTTGTCTCCGTGGTTTGGACGGTAACCCTAGGAAGGATTCTTCATTATTTACCTGTACATAGAAGCCTATCTCAAACATTTAAAAGGCAATCCCTTCAAAACACACAGAAACCGCGATAATCATAACCCGGTTGTAGATGTCTCTCACATCAGAATGTATTCAAAATCCAGTTGTTGAGGTTCAAATACAAACCGTAGTAATATTCATAAAATGACGTTAGTCTCCAAGTTACATTTGGAAAATCGTAGATCACTGATCTTATAGTTTCATTTCTCTCGGATGAAAATTTGGTAAACAAATTTTGAATAGTATAATCGCGCACTTACCTGAAAAATTGGTCAATGTGGCAACAGCGAGAAACCGACAAACCACACCGACGCTGGGGCAATCTGAAATGCGTGGTGCGCACTGTACGTTTCTTGGTGATGTGCGCAGCCAATGGAGCAATCTAGCCACGTGTTTCATTATTCTTTAGTATCCTAAGTATTGGTTTGGTGTATAGACCGATGTGCATTACAACAGTTATGATTGTTGTGAGGTGGAAAATCGAAGGAGAGCTGAACACACAAATAGGTAAGGAAACTGTTTTGCTGAAAAATCCGCCGCAACTTTTATTTGCGCAGTTGCATAAACTTAAATTCGTGCATATCTCAATTGTACTTGACTCACTTGACTTGTTTTGTACACTCCTGAAAAAAATATCCAGTTCTATGAAGGGCAGCGTTAATTGTTAACTATTTTGTAGTTCGAACGCATGTTATTCTACTTTTCTTCAGATTTCATTTGCGTAGGTCATCATTTAATCGGAAATAAACAGCAAAAGTAACTGTCCTGTCACGTCAACATGTTCGAACCTCTCAAATTGACCTTATTCGGTGTTATTTGTGTATTCACCTGGACAGTGTATGAATTCACGCAAAATACAATTGTGAAAACTTTTCACATACCTATTTTGACACTTTTCACTGAAAACTATCAACTCATTGACAAAGAAACGCTCCATTTCACAAATTTTACGCACATGTGGTACAAGTTAAAGAAATATTATTTGTATTGCATAAATAATAAAAAATCTTCATCTATCGACAAGAAACATGAAGAAATTGATAGTAATAAAATGCTGAAGGTTTTTTAAACCTGTAGTAGCCTTTCATTTATAGTGTATTAAATTTTCGTTTCATCGCTTTTCATCAACTTGATGTTTTTCATATGTTCTTTTACGGAAATGTGTTCGTGTTGCAATTGTTTACTATGAATCATTTTTTATACTGACCTAGATTTCAATGATACGGTTATAAGATATAACACAAACAATATTCCAAATTTAATATTGATGAATCGTGGGTTTCATAATAATCACTGTATTGCAAAATATAAAAAGCAGTTTATCCTTTTTTTCGAAGGAAGATGTTTATTTACAAAAAAATCATTCCAATTAACGTATCCCTGGTTACAAAAGCAAAATACACTATTAAGATGAATATTTTTGTTAAAGGAGACTGTTTTTGTCTCCCTAAGCACCGTATATAAGTAAACACAAGTAAATTCACTCCCCGNAAAAAAAAATTATTGCCATTTTTAAAAATATCCCTAGACTTTTCCGATGTGTGTATAAATGGGCACCGTTGGAAGGTAGGTTGCACTATATCGTTTACTTGAACTATACCCACTAGTAAATGATATTTTCCAAATCGCGATCATCATTGAACGAATCTATCTGAATAAACATTCTAATGTGCTATCTCTTCAGAGCGTCATGAAGTCTCCTTACATTATTGATGATCCGCACATTATGATGATGAATCATAACTTTACAGATATTGCTAGATAACGTGTGCGATTAAACAGAAATTAACAAGTGACCTCAAATTTATCTGGTCGTTATAACCATACAGTTATTACTCTATTGCGTATGCATCAGGTGTTGAAAAAACAGTTCACTCGGGTGGGAGGTGTTATGAAGAAACGGCACGACTTTTATCATTGTTTATGAAACGTTTGTTAGCCTAATTGTTATTACTGTGAAGGCGAAACTAGAGATACCACGTTTAGCAGGAAGTTGATTCATACAGGGTGATTCAATGAAATAAAATGCTTCTCAGGTAAATACGCTGTCAAAATACATCTATTTCGTCCTGTTCAAAGTAGCCCCCTTCAGATTCGGTTTTTATCTTCTCAATCGTCGCAAAAAACGCCGTCCTTTCATGGGTCTCTTCAATCTTGAGAACAGGAAAAGTCGCAGGGTGCCAAATCGGGTGAATGCGGTGGCTGAGGTATAATTACGGTGTTGTTTTCGGCCGAAAAATTACGAACAAGCAATGAAGAGTGAGCATGTGCATTTTTCACAATACCAGACGTTTTCTTTGTATTGCAAGCAGCGCATAACTTCAAGATAATACTCCTTAATTGTTTAAAAGTGGTTGACAATGTGTCACGGTGAATTTCATTGGTTCCGACTTCCATTGTCTAATATTACTTTACTCTGATTCGAAATCTATGAAAAAATGAATAAAATTAGAAGTAACAGCTAAAATTTCAATTATATTAAGCAATAAAACCTGAATTTAATTTAAACTATATTTATTATAATATTACTCAGTTTCGATATAATGTTTTTGCAAACTATCGTATTACCAAGCGATACTTGTCATTTTTCAATTAAATTATGTATACTAATGAATGCAGTTCCTTGGGAAATAAAACTTATCTCGTCTCGTCCTGTCTCCGTTTCCCCGCTTTAGCGTGAGTACGTTTGGCGGGAGATGACCGTTTTCAGCTTGATTTCAGATTTCTATAGGTTGCGCTAGCTTGGCTGAATGCGTCGTTGGATAACATATACGCAGCTTCTTTGAACTTCCTCTCAAACCAGTATTCCTCCCTGTGGATGATCTCAGCTTGGGACCACTGGATGTTATGTTGATGAGTCCAAACATGCTCTACCATTCCCAATTTGCTGGTTTCTCCTCGCTGTGTGTTTCTCTTGTGCTCAGCAATGCAGACTTTCGATGGCCTCTTTGTTTCACCGATATAGGATTTGCCGCACTCACATGGTATCCGATGAATGCAATTCTTGGAAACGCAGTCCGCGTTTAGTGGCCTGGTTTTCGTGAGGCTGCTACGGATGGTGTTTCCGGATCTGAAGCAGGTGCTGATGTTGTTTGTCCTGGGACCCAATTCTTCTTATCCTTTCCTCTGACTTAGGGAAATACAGGCACTGGTTGTGACGGCTTTTCTTCCTTGCGAGGCTTTTGCTGTCTTCTAGCCAAAGTCAGTTCCACCATCTTGCTACTATAAAGTGATGGTGGGAAAAACTTTGGCTCGCTTGGGGGACTTAGTTCCAACTCTTAACAACAGAATCCCAAATATCAAGTTTACATATGAAATTTATAACAATGAAGGGTTCCGCCCGCCCCATTATAATCGTCCAAACTCAACGTTCCGAAATTTTCCGCAACCCTCCTCTTCGACCTCTTTCTTTCCACCGCGTTCAACAGCTTTCCGTACTTTTCCGAAATTTCCCTTTTGTAGTCTGATTCCCTTTTGGTCTTTTTGGGTGGCGTTTCGGGAGATACAAGATTTGCAGATATCTTGTTGTGCTCGATGATCTCATCGATGTTGGATTGGAGTTTGAAGTTGTGGTTTTCTCCCAGTCCGAGGCTTTCCAGTTGTTTTTCCACGACGTCCTTCTTCCGTTCGTACTCACTTTTTCGTGTGGTGTGATTTTCGAAATTCGGTTCAGATCTTTCCGGTATAGCCTTAGCTCTGGATGCAAACATATCTCCCCCAACGAGCATATTGATAGTGAGCAGTTTCGGAGCAGAATTTAGCAGATGGTCTCGTCAGCTGCAATGACCATTGAGAACCTCATTCAGCCTCTCGTACTCTTCGAAAAGACTCGTTTCATTAATGATCTCTGTTCCTGAAATGTTCAGCACAGTGGATACTGCAATTTTCGCTTTGTTGAAGTTTTCGTTGTCCTCACACACGTTGGTCACCTTCACCTTGAGCGTCTCAGACTCGCACTCCTCTTCTTCAGAGGTAGTGCGGCGGGTTTCTGCCCCAGATGGTATCCTGGATGTTGAGGGAAATATCGTTACTTCATCACCATTTGCTTTTGCCTTATCGTCAAGGTATAGGTCGATCGTAACCTCATCGAGGAAGTCCTTGGTGGTGACCACGGGGGTGAGTTTTGGAAGTAGCTCTTCGAAGCTAAAGAAAACTTGTTTTTCTACGGGTCTACCTTCTTAGCGGACCTTTTTCTCAGAATCTCCTCGTTAATTTAGTCGTTTCTGACGAACTGAGGCCACTGCTGGAATTCTGAGTTTTCGAGGAATTTCTGGTTTGGTAAGTTCCTCGGTTGTCTTATATTGCCTTGAGAGAGCTTGACAGAAGGATCATGGAAATAGATATTGATTGCCATCAATGATTGCCATTCATGATTTTAATATATTATTTTCCATTCTTATCTCTATTCAATAGTATTGAACTTAACTGAATGTTTGTTACAGGCCCCTTCAGAACGTATCTCACTCGAACTGAGTCCGACAGAAAATGAGTTCGCTGCTGAATACACTTTTAGAGGCAGCTCGATTTTTGGAACTCCAAGAACAACAGCAACAAAATCGCGCGACGGTTGCAGAAACGCTAGTCACGATGAAACCCGTATCCCCAACGCCCGCCCCCAGTAGTCCAACTAGGACGATAACTCCGACGTACACCAATCTCAAAACAGTCACCGCAAATACTTCGCCCCAAACAGTCGTCATATCTTCCAGCAATATTGCACCAGCTATCATTCAAGGGCCGATTACGTTCACCTCAACTCCTCCTTCACAGGTAAATATTTCACAGTGTAAAAGTATGGTTGTAAACAGAACCCAAATTCAAAATTTTGTCATTGGAAGTTTGTTCCATAAATGTTGGCCTTCACGACTGCCGTCAATGCTTTGGTTGGTATTCGGGTTTTGCAGTGGTCTTCTTTGGGTATAATCTCCAAACGTTTTGTAACTGCGGCAGTCATCTTCAGTGGCCGTTCGCCGAGAGAAAAGACATAATCCAAGGGAGAATAAGAGGAACACCAGTGAAGATCAACCCCAAGACACTGTTTATCTGCCATACATAGAAGGTGTCACCAATCGAATCGGGTAGATTATAAAGGAGACAACAGAGTTCGGCAAAAGAAAACAGAGATCCACTCAAATCATCGGGGGTTTACAGGATTCTATGTAACTGTGGTAAAGTTCATATCGGTCACACGAAAAGAAGCATTGGTGCCAGCCTAGTCGAGCACAAGCGGAGTTGCAGATTGGGGCAGACCAAGAATTCTGCAGTCGCTGAACATGCACTGTCCGAAAGGATACAAAAGAATGTATTTAGAAGCCATAAAATACACAAATACCAAGATTACTTCAACAGAAAGGAAGAGGGAACATATCTACCAGATCTGGAAAACAGCATTGAAAGGCGCCAAAACGAAGCCATTCCACCCAAATCGCGCGGGAAGTAGGCGCGATCCCGCCATTGCAGAAAGTGCGCCATGTGACCCATTGTACATACTCCCGAGGAGTTAGCCTCAAAGGTCATCGTCCATAATGTCCTTTCCAGGAAGATGGACAAGTCACTAGGAGACATCTCCTTTATATCGGTAGGTGTAGGCCAAGACTCGCCGAACACACACTCTCTTGTTGACGATAGCTCCGGGCACTCGCATAGGACATGCCTGACAGTTTCATCCTCCTGTTCACACATCCTGCATAGAGGTGTGTCCACTAGCCCCATATTATGGAGGTGTTTCCTTAGTTGACATTGGGCAGTCAGAAATTCTACTGTTAAGCCTGGTCATCGCCAGATATTTCGTCGGCACCAGCTTACCAGGGTCGTCCAGGGTGATCCTGGCAACATTGCATCCTTTGATTTCATCCTATCTCTTTAGGGAGTGAGCATGGGTGTAACGTTTGGCTAATTCCGCAATTGTCGAAGTCATCAGGCCGTAGGTGCCACTGGCTCCTAAAATTCTTAGTTCAGCCGTTTCCTTGGCTAAAGAGTCGGCAATGCGATTATCTTTACTTCTGTCGTGCCCTTTAACCGACCTCAAGATAATTTTATTATCTACCGAGGCTTTGGCTAAATCTTGGTGGCACTCTAGTACTAGCCCTGAGGTAACACGTTATCTGTTCAAGGGCTTGTCTGCTATCAGTACAGATTGTTATGTTTTTGCCAGAAATTGCTTTCCTGGTTATTTATTTTGTGGCGATTGAGATACCAGCCAGTTATGTTTCAACCACACTGGTATTTTTTCCCATTCCCCACTTAATCCTTAGGCTTAATCATCTGGAGTACACTTCACATCCTGAGCCTTCTTTGGTTTTTGAGCCATCTGTATAAATCCGTATTGCATTTGTAGCATCTGACTCTGTGTTCTGCTTAATTTGTATTTTGTAGGGTTTATTAAACACAAACCTGGGTTCAATTGCATTACTTGTTGCCTGCAGCAGTGGTTGCGCAGTAAGCGCTTCCCGCTATAGGCCCAGCCTCAATTGACCCATTCCTACTTCGAGGTTTACACCAGCCGTGCGCAATCGTGACATGGCCATTTACGCCAACCTCCTTAACAATATGCACTATAAATGACACGGCAGAAATGAGAGATTCAAATGCAAATGAGAGATACGTCAAGGTGAGTACTTCGACCTCGCCACTGAAGATGACTACTCCAGTTGCAGTTGAACCGTTTGGAGATTGTAACCAAAGAAGACCACGGCAAAACCCGAAAACCAACCAAAACTTTGTTCCACAAAGCTTGGTAGTCCAAATGGAAGAGTTATCAAAAAAGTTAACTTCAAGGTATATTGAATTGAACCTTAAAAACATTTGCAGCTGTAGCAACTTCTGTGTACTCATAAGAAATTATACCCAACTTTCTGGTTCGAAACACTTTTAGAAGCAGCTCGATTTTTGAAACTCCAAGAACAGCAACAAAATCGCGCGACGGTTGCTGAAACGGTAGTCCCGATGAAACCCATATCCCCAACGCCAACGCACGTCTCCAGTAGTCCGAATAAGACATCACTCCGACGTACACCAATCTCAAGTTGATGAGAAGCAGCCTTCGCTATTCGACCAATATGAATGTTGAGTATCAATGTACGTGGACTGTATTTCCTGTGATATGAATTTGAATGTTTTCCTTTTGCGCCATTTTGCTAAATAGGGGGAGCAAATATTTTGAATTGAACCGAACTGACTGACTTTGAGTAGTTTAGCAACTGGTCTCTTCTGTCGCACTCCCGACCGTTTTTGACGAAGGGTCACAAATAGAGGCTGACACAGTAATAGCGTTGTCTGAATATTGAAAATGAATACAAAAGGAAATACTTTCAGAAAACACCAGGGTAAAAAAAATAAAATAATAATAATATATTACAATTAACCTCAAAATAAAGGAGAAGACGAATAGGAGAAGACGAAACAGTGAATGGGTCAAGACTTACTGCTATCCAATTTGCTGGGTGTGAATTTAATAGAGTTTTCTTCAGTTCGTTGGTTCACACAATATATGTGACGTTTGCCGCAAAAAGGTACAAAGTGTACGAAAATGGCTTTTCGATTGAAACGCGTTTAAAATTTCGCAGTGTATACGCCTTCAGTGGGGTGTAAGGTCTTGATACTCGATTACTTTTAGAGCTGATGTGCACAATATTAATGTGAGGTATAAAGGCCGACTAACTCCGACTAGAAGGAGTTTCAGCTACCAGATCAATTTATAATGACATTCCCGAGCCCATGAAACGAGATGACTTCAATCATTTTAATACCAATTTCAAATGATTTTTATTATTTTTGAACTATTAACGACCCAATACAAATCTATGAATAATCATAATATTTTAAGATAATTAAAATTCTTTTTGTTTATTCTTTTGCGTACTAGGCGACATTTTTGAGGTAAGGTGGAAGAGCTATTGAATGATGATTTGTCATTATGTAAATTGAACTTCACTTTTCATCTTCATTTAAAAATTGAACTGTACCTGATTAATTTGCTTTAAATGTATTAGAAGATAATAAAGACGATATTATTATTATTATTATCACCGTACTGTGCGCTGGTCAGGCCCTATCCCCCGAAGCCCCGATACATTCGGGACCACTCCCCACACGGTGGGGTAAGTGACCATTGGGTCCGAGAATCATGTGTCCTAAGCAAGCGCAGTGAGCCAAGAATGACAGCCTTTTGCATCTGTCCGAGTAAGATTTCTGCCTTAGTGCGGCAAGCCGGTATGATTTTAAGATTTGAGAGTAGAAAGGGCATCATCCTACCAAGGACTCCAATAATCAGAACAACCATTTCGACAGAGTGGTCTGGATAGAGTTTGCGGAGTTCGAAGAGAAAATCTCGATATTTTATCCGTTTTTCCTCCTCTATTCGGACGATATTCGTCTCGCCAGGAGCTGAGAACTCCACGACAAATATCGTCTTGCTCTGGTGGTCGAGAAGGACTACATCAGGCTTATTAGCTTGTATGAGCCTGAGGGTCAGGAACGAATAGTTCCAATAAATTCGGCACTTCCCGTTCTGTAACTTTTTCGTTTCTGGGTTTTCTATTTTATCCGTGAAAATTTCATCGTGAATTATTAATTTTCATAGATTCCACTTCATTAAAATGAATGCGGGTGACGATTTTAAAAAGAATCAGGAAGTTTTCGATAAAGAGTTGGAAGCGGTTAATGGGGTATGCGGTGCGGTATGTAATGAAGATAAATCTTCTGTAACTGGTTCAAACTCTTCGTCAGGAAATTGTGAAACCGAGTATGCTGAGTTTGAGGAGAATTTGAATGGTAGTTCTCACATAAGCATCGTAGAGCTTGAAGAATCTGTCGTACCTGTACCTTTCTTCAGCGAATGGTTATGAAAACATTTTTTTCGCAAGTTTAACGAAAATCGCGTGAAAAAGTATGCATTAAAGGGACCGAAACCTCTCACCAAAAATATAATAACATTATGAAATGAAGCCTTTACTACATTCAACATTCAAGAAAGTATATAACTCTGAACAGGTTTTTTCATAAATACATAGGAACTTTGTTCAGTTCAATAGGTATGATCTAATTATAGAGATAACACCAAAAACATTGATATATCAATGAATTTTCATATATTTTTCCAGTATGTTAAAAAGATCGATCAGGACGGCCATGTCTCGAGTACGACGGTGGTTTCCCAAATCCCCAGGCAGAGGATTCTACATAACAGTTTCGATATAAGGAACCCGTTGGTAATCGATGAAACCAACGGAAATGATAGCAAAAGGAAACAACCCCCAATGGTATTCAGGGCTGGCACCCGAGAAGTCCATAACAAGCTCGAAAAACATAGAAGAGCACACCTTAAAGAGTGTTTCGATATCTTGAAGAAGCAGCTGCCCTCTACGCAAGACGAGAAAAAGACTTCCAATTTGAGTATTCTCCATTCAGCTTTGAGGTAAAAAAATATCAGTCATACATACTTTTGCTTTCATTTTTCATCAAATGAATCCCAACAATTGTCTATATAACAGTCACTTTAGCCAAATTTTCAAAACTGTATTTTATTTTAAGCCAGTTATAAATTAACTATGAATTGATATAAGAATGAAAAGAAAAACTACATGCAACCACCGACGAAAACATCCCCAAAATTTCACTGCAGTAAATGATTCACAGTCGTTTAAGAAAGTAAACTGAGTCATTGGCAGATTATAATTCTCAAACAATAAAACAAACAGTAGGTTGAGAGCCAAAATAGGAAATCTGCTGCAAAAACAGAAGACTTGGCAACACTGAACACGGCGCTCCTCTCATGCGATTTCCTCTTCATCTGCAGTGGATTTATTCGTCATAGTCTTTCAGTCTAATTGTATTACAGCTTCGTTGTGACTTTTCTTCTATTATGACATAACAATCATTCATGCGTGACCAATCACAAATGTCATAACCTCAATTGTCATAACTTAAACATAACGTAGTCAATTTGAATAAGGTGGATTTATGCAAGCTAACTCATCTTAGCAACTCGAGATGTTGAATGATCGATAACTAATTGAAGTATTCATGCAACATATTTAGACGCTCAACTTAACTCATCAACCTATAAAGTTCGCCAATTTTTAACTGACTGCGCATGATCATATAGTAGATATCAAGAATGTCGAATCAGTTCAAGCTTTTTTCACTTCCTGATTCATAAAAAATACTGTTTATGTCAAAATTGTTTAGTTTGAAGCAGATAGTTACAATTAGGAAGGAATTAGTGTTACCTCTTCATGAAATGTGCACTTTTTATCTGAAAACTCTTGAGCTCTTTCTGTGATATATTAAACGCATCTCTTTTTCTGCCCTGGTATGTTATTCAAGTGATCTTGGTAGTTCATGATATTTTTATGACAGGAACCTATCCTTCATATTTTCTTAAGGACCCCCAACAAACTTATCGAAGCAGAAAGCGGAATTGTCTGTCATGACTTATACCGACATATAATTCATTGATTTTCTTGTGGCCAGATACTCAATTAAAGATTGGGTATTTTTTTTCTGTCAGATCCCTTACTTATGAATTTGCTCATCTAGGTTATGAATCTGATTAACTGTGATTCGTTCAAAGGTGTGATTTGAAAGTGGTTGACAATGTTTCAATGGTAGTCCGAACTATTAAAATTCAACAAGAAATGGTCACATTATTTTCTATAGTCAAAGAAAAAAAATGTTAAGCATTGCAATCCGATATTAAAAAACTGTTCATATCGTCCATGATTACTCATGAAATGAACTTTTTTCAACAGGTATATTCAGACTTTGAAAAGAAAAGAACGGGAGCTGGAACATGAAATGGAAAGATTGGCAAGAGAAAAGATCAGTGCGCAACAGCGTTTGGCGGTTCTCAAAAAGGACATTTCATCGCATTTCGACAATGTAGACTTTTCAAAACTCTTACCTGAAGTTGTTGCTTCCAGTCCAAGTACTAGTTCAGTGCACGATACTATTATGGACACCAGAAATGAGCCGGTTAATGCCAGCATCAATGGACAGAATGGTAGTAGCCAAGAGAAGGTTGCTATTCCAATATTGGCAAAAACTAGCATTCCTGTAGTCACCCAGAATCTGACACTGAAAGAGGTTGGTTGAATTCACTACTCATTTCATTTCAGTTGTTGAATGTTTTATTATTACTGACTAATAACTACAGCAATCTACTGAAATAAATAGATTTATTTCACGATGACGATCTTACGAAGACGCCACCTATGGGGATGACAAAGAAATCAATATTCGAATATCAAAACTGAACAGTATTGTCCTTTAAGGCAGTTAGAGTCCAGCAACGCATTTGTGTTTCAGTCTAGTACCTCTGATGAGCCCTATAACGGGTCGAAACATCGCTGTCTAGTATTGAATCATAAATGCGTTATTTAGGCTCTGGTTTTCAAATAGTTGCCTTGCAGTGAAACACAGAACGAATCTCGTCGGCGGTCAATATCATAGTTTGGATTCGCAACTGACCCCCTTTGGGAGCCTCGTTTACTTTTGATATCCGAGAGACGCCCATGGATGGCGTCTTTGTAAGGGAAGATGACTTAGTAATCGTTAACGATGAAATGATTGAAATATATAGGATATAACTCAAGTGCTGACTTTAATTTCACAGGGGGGATTTCTTGTCATACTTTATGAATAAAGGTCATATAAACGTTTTCTACACGTTAAAGTTGTAATGAAAAGATGGTGTTGCATTAATTGCAACACCGATTATGATCCAACTCGGTATGTTTGATAGCAGTAATGAAGGTCTCCTATCTTTTACTTTTATGCATTAAGGTGCTGGGCTGAACCACAAATGTATCATTTGACTTCATATGACTTCAACAGACAAACCTGAAGAAAAAACAAAGGCGCCATCTGTGGGATGTACACAAAACTAAAACCTTGCTTATCTAACATGAACATAGCGGTTCGCAGATTCGTTTTCTTTCTCTACAGTTTCCTCTACAAAGAAACTAGATATCCAGAATTCAAAAATAAAGTATTTGCCACCAGAAAAACTTCATTTCGATCTGACAGTGGTGCTAGGTTATTAATGTGCTAGGGTTTCACCTAGTTGACAGCTTACAGTGAAAAACAAAAAGTGATTTCTCATTCGGCGGTCAACGTCGCAGTTTTGCTTTGCTTTAATTTTTCATATTTCCTTTTCTCAGTGTTTTTCATTTGTTGAGATATTTCATTATTCATAAAATCCAAACGAAACATTCACTAAATAAGATCAGAGTCTCTATAGAGACTTTCTGTATAATTATTTCGTTACATGCACTGAATATAGACACATTTGTGGAGGTGCAGAGTGATATTAGCAGGCAGTACCAATACGTAAATGGTAATTTATCAGATGAAAGGTCCATGGATCATGGAACACCTCAGGGATACATCTTGGGTCCATCCCTTTTTATAATCTACATAAAGCTGGTTCACATTCAACAAACTGAAACTTAACAGGGAAAAAACTCAGAAAATGACTGTATCTTTCAATACCAGGGTAACAACCAAAGCTCAAGTCAAATTATTAAGTATAATTATAGATGGTTCGCTTAGATGGGAATGACATATTGACTATCTCTGTAAAAAACTCTCGACACAGTTGTTTCTACTTCGCCAGTTCAAAAATGAGCCATAAAACACTTATCACTTCGTATCATTCCCCTTTTTCACTGTCACCTTTCATATGGTACACTCCTTCATTTCAATTATATTACATAACCTCTCAGTCTTAAGTATTTCATTCTTTGTTTGTCTTAATAACAAAATATTTGCTTCTTAACAGTTTCATTTTCATAAAAATTGGTATATGTTGTTAAAGTTGAATGTACAAATGAGACATGACGACGTAACAACTACTTGTACAGCATCATAACGTAATTCTCATTTCAGGTTTCCCAGCCTGTACAAACGACAGCTCTATCAATGCTTCCAATGACATACCCAGTGAACCAAGGTCTGGTCCTCCAGAAAGTGGCAATCGTCCCAAAAGGTCTCGATGGACTCACCCCATTAGTGTCTACCCATTTCATCACAGCCCCTCAGCAAATCAATGGAAAAGTGGTACCGTTGGCGCAATACCTCATGAAACCAGTCGTAGTTGTCAGCACTGCTTCACCTCGTCCGAGCTAGTGGGGCTGAACGTAATTTGCCCAGATTATATACAGAAATGATGATGATAATGGAAATTCCTCGTACAAGGGTACAAAAGTAATAATAGGATCACTCAGCGTCAGACTTTCGAAACAGTTGCCAAGTGAAACAATGATATATTATTCCATGAAACTCGTAGTGATACTAGAGTCGAAATATATTATGTTGATATTCCTCGTTAACGAACTTGGAGTAAATGTCCTCACAGAGTTTGAGGGTTTTTCTATGTGCACCTTTTCATTTATTGAAAACCAAGGGATGACCACAGAACTCTTCAGAACAGTCAGAGACTGATATTTCATCATTCACTTCAATATATTAACAATCGATTATCAAATAAAAAGTGAAACTAGAATCTCTGGCATAGAATAAATCCAAAGCAAGCACTTTTTCCAATAACCAGAAATGCAATACACTCGACGTGGATATTTCAGGAGATGGAGAAAAAGTACATCTCCTGAAAACACGCTTTTTACCAATCAAGTGAAGACAACGTGAGTTGAGAAAAGTTTGCATTTCTGGTGATTGGCGATTGAATCAATTATCATTTATCCAATTGATCAGTTGACGAACCGGTTTCGGTTTTTCAGAACGTGGACGAATGGTGGATTTTGAATTTCCATTGTCTAAAAATATGAATTTGGATAAATCGATGTTTTAAAAAAGTAAAATTGTAAGGGGGCTGAAGTTATAATGCTCTGATGAGTTTTTGAAAGGGAGGATGGAAATGAAAGTGGAACAGTGGGGGAAAGCAATACAAATCACAAAAATATGGATATGAAAAATAAATTCAGTTGATTTGAATAACCCTTTTTTCAAACTAGAATTAATATCCACTGAAAAATTACAGTTATTTCAGAACAGAATTGATTCACACGTATATGTATACAGCGTGTTATTTGAAAATGATGCACAGCAATATGTCGGAAGAACACATGCAGAAGTGTTAAACCAAGCCAATTTTTATTCTGAGGGAGATATCACCCACAAGGGATGAACTAACGAAATCAGTACGTGGGATACCTTTCACCTCCATTCTCATATTGATACTGTCTGTCTTTGAAATATTCAGATATTCAGAGTCAATCGTTTTTAACCGAACATACTGTAAAAATCAAAATAATTCCGCAGGGGCATATGAAAATTTCGTAACTCCCATTTTCTGCATATTTAATATAGAACTGGCGGTGATTGTGGATACATGCACTTTTCTTTTTGGCCTTATTTTTATTTTTTCCTGCTTTCCAATACTCGTCTCAACATTTCAGTTATATTTCTTATTAATTTCTCAATCATTGATAATTGTCTTGGGAAACAAAATTATCATCAACAAAGATGAATTTTATGATTGATCTCAATATACCAATATTTTGTGCAAGGAAAGATATATTTTCAAGTGACCTCAGAAAACTTCAGAAAAATGTTTACGCTAGCATCTTCTCCTATGTTAAAAGTTTACTTCTTCAAAATTAGAAATTTTGAGTCTTCAGAGTTAGGTGTTTTCATTTTTTTTTTTGTGATGTTAATGCTCATTTCGAGAAAGGCTCAGTTGAAATGGTTTCTTGAGAAGAAATCAAGTTCAAAATGAAAAAAAAATACCCAGCACCTATTGAGTATCAAAATACTACACTCCAATATGTTTTCATTAAATTGTAAGTTGTTGGGCCAGACAGTATTATACAATGTAAAGAATGAAATATCATTAAGGGACCACTGGCCCCAGATTCATCAGTATTTTCAGAAATTACCAAATTGATTGAAAACATATTGAAAAAGTAAGGCTATTTTGGGAAAGCGAATCTATAGGACATGCAACTTTACTCACTAACACTTGAAAAATGTATCTTTCTTTCAATTATTTTTTGCCTTTTGAAAATGTAACATATAAATTGGGAATCTTAGGTAACTAATAAAATAACTAGAATTTAAATCAAAATCTTCAAAGACACTGTATAAAATGTGATGCAATTATTAGGTAAACGTCTATATTAAAATTTCCTGCACAGGCAATTAAAAGTTTATATTAATGTGTGAACATAGTTCGCTTGTTTCTCTTGAGTATTTTTCTTTTTTTTTATTTTACTCCAAAATTGAAAAGAATGACTGATATTTTAACTTCTTCTGTACAAATTATACAAACAAAATTTTAAAGAAATTTTATATTTTTTATCTGCTTTAATAATTTATATATTATAGAAAAAGTTATCGATATATATGTATATTGAATTTGTGTTTTTAGGTTTATAAGGGTCTTTACCCATATTTTATTAGATCTCCTAGATAACTTTTGTCTGTATTTAGTTTTATTTGATCTTTATTGTACATAAAACTTGATCAATTTAACCTCTGTACATACTTAACTTAAGTTGTAAATATGGCGGTAAATTAACTTTTCCTCTTGTATATAAATAACATAAACTTCAATTCCAAAATGTCTTGGGATTGAAATGTATTTAAGACAAAAATAAAATCAATAAATCTGAAAATGTTGATTTCTTTATTTTCATTCTCGTGATGAATTGGTTTTCCCGATATAATCCGGTCAATCTAGACATTGGAAGGTACATAAATTTACTACAAGCTGCAAACGCGTGTAATTGTTCAAAACATAGTTAAAAATGAGATTTTGAAATTCCGAATAATTGCGGTTCCTGGAAAAAAATGTATTCGAGGTCAAAGGTCAAAAATCTCGACAAAAATTGGTTTTTCATGATTTTCAGGAAAACAGTATATCATAAAATAACCACAGATAAAAATTGTAGATCAGAAAATTCTCTACAAAAAATGTATCAATCCTTTTTTTTCTTAGAGCCACCGTTTCTGAGATAGGAAGAGTCAAAAAGCTGTAAAAGTTGTAATCGTCATTATATGCACACGTTTCCACGCCAACTATGAGGTAGGGTACTTAACGCGTTTTTTTAACGTGGTTTCCCCAGTAGGCCTATTCCACACGTCTGTTGTGATTCTGTCAAATTGAAAACTTGCATAATAAAATATATTAGGAAGGGTTGGAAATTATAAAAGCGATTGAAATTAAAAAAATGTATCATTATATTATTGTTGGGAATCGTCCTGTACATATGAAAAGAAAAACAAATTTCATTGCCCAACAGAAAAATGAATATGCAGGTGAAATTCCATTAATTTCTATTTTGTCCCTTGGGCCATGGTTTTTTTCTAAACCTCAAAGAAGTTCTGGTATGCACTTTATAGTACATCCTTGAGCTCTCTTGGCGATTCGGTAACTGGAAAAAGTTGTAGGGGCCAAATCTGGTGGCCACAGAGGCTGAAGCATGATTACGGTGTTGTTTTTGGCCTGATATTCTTGAGTAAGGTATTAATTAGTTCATAAGATTCTTCCAATTTCACTAAAAAGTGATGGATAAAAAGAAGTGCTCCAAATGCAAAGGTGAATTTGAATCAACCCAGCTCCTTCCCTGTGATAGTTGCAGAAAAAATTTGTGCAGTGGTGAAGCCTGTGGAAATTTAACAGGATCAGAAATCAAATGTCTACAGCTGAAAACAAAAAGGAAACTTATATTTTTATGTGAAGACTGTGAATCAGGATTCTGGGAAGTACCTTCACTGATTGACCAGATAAATGAATTGAAGGATAATTATGAAAGACTGGCCAACAATTCATTATTCTCAGAACAAAGGCGCAGATACTGATAAGTCTTCAGAAGAGGTAATATCTGAACTATTAGAGAGAGAAAAAGGAACAAAATATTATGATAGAAGGACTAAAGGAGTCCCAGGCTAATACTCTTCAGAGAGGTATAGAAGAGGATTTGAATGTAACTAATGATTTACTTAATAAATTCAACGTTGATATCAGTAATATCAAGGAAAAACTATGGGAAATACACCTAGGCCACTCAAAGTTATTCTCAAATCGCGAGGAGATGCATTGAATATCTTAAAGAATAGCCGGATTGAATTAGCAAACCTACGAATATTTAGTGATCAAACAAGGAGACAACGGGAACACTACATGAAAATCAAGAGTCAGCTGCAAAGAATGGAGAAAAATTGTGATTTCTCAAAAACAATTGAATATATTAAGAACAAACCTACTTTAGTAAATAAAACTAGGATGGCTACATCAAAAAACAAGTAAAGCTTTCTAATATACAGTATCATAGTGATATCATTCATTTGAACATTCAGAGTATCTTAGCAAATGAAAACGACCTTATAGCAAGAATCTTATGTTATAATCCAGCTCTAGTGCTTTTAAGTGAAACCTGTACAACTGGAGATATAGAGGATTCAGAAATTTGTGGCATGAGCCAACCGATATGCCAAAATCCTTATCTACTTTTTTAACAATTTCGATAACTTTCTCAACATTTTCATCAGTTGTTGAAAATTTCTTAGATAATTACAAAAAATGATTTCAAGTTCAACCCCCTGCCACCTCCCATTTATTAATAACAGATGGTATAAAGATACACCTCTGTTTGAAGGGTTTTTCAATGTATCTCCTATCATTTTTTCAAATGCAAAAAGCAACGGAAACAACCCTTTGTTTTTGATAATTTGAAATAAAAATGTGATGCCACATTATCTACCCTTGATTTGGAAGGAAAAATGAGAGAAAACAAAAACAACAGAAAATTGCTGTGGTGTTAAAACAGAGCCTAAACTATCATGTAGATCACAACTACCTGTTAAAATAAGCAAGAAAGTAGCAAATATGAAACTCAACAAAAGACTCTGAAGTGCTTGAAATTTTAACTTTGGAAAAAATAAATATTTCTCATGGAACACTATTCGCAATGCACTTTACTAACCCAAATTTTATTCCAACAAATCAAACAAGTCCAAGAACTCTGTGAAGAAGATTGGAATTTCACAAAAAATATTAAAGACGAGATTAGTTTGAGCCTTGGAAGAACTAAGCATGGGCAGAATATGTTTTACTAATTAATTGGTAATTGGACAAAAAAATTGAAAGGGTGGATAATGTGCTATACATAACATTATTGTGCCATAGAGTGGTCATCCCAGCTCTCCCATCCCAATCAACTCCTATAATAACAAAAAAAATTATGATTAATAATTTTAATTACCATCTACTGCTGCTGGCACGTTGAACTTCAGTATCAGTTCGTCAGATGAATATAACATTAGATAATACATAATTTTCAGAAAAAAAAATTGCATCCACTAATAGAAATGTCCTCTGCCTCTAAAATATTGAGGGGTCTTTTTTTATGGGACACACAAAAATATAAAGGTACAACACAAGGTAGCTACAGCACAACGAAATTTCAACTGGTTTATGGAGTTTGATTTATTAGAAATCGAAACCAGATTTTACTACAGCACTTTTACACTAGATTTCAGTCACAAGAGTAACAATTTCAGTTTTCCAGTAGATTTCAATACGTCACACACAACCCAACGACAACAAAATCCCCTGAATGGGGAGTTATAATATTTGAAATGATGGACTATAATTAATTTTTTAATATGGAAATTAACCACCGTCAGCATATTTCAGTGTTGAATAATGAATGTTGTATGTACTCCAAACTAATAATATTTATTTCTTCAACATTGAAAAGATATTCTCTTTATCAGAATATTGCTCAGTTGATAAAAGTTTTAGCGCGGTCATTGACATCGGGTAGTACATGCGATAAAAATCAAAGATCCCCTTGGAAAATTATATAGCGATCATATGTTTTTTGTCAAATATATTGACACTTGTCCTAATAATTCCAAGAGAAAGAGGTGTCTTATAGTTGTTATTCCGGTTTATATATGAAAAATAAGAAATGAAAAAAATGCTGAGAAAGAAAAAGGAGAATTGTAAGGTTGCCGATAGAGGATGCGACCAGTTGAGAAAAATAGAGGGAAATCCGAACATCACGTCAAAAAGACTAACGGTTAGTTGATTTGCAGATAAGGTGTGGAATTCTTTGAGTGTGATGTCCGATTGCATGTTTTAGATTCCTCCGGGATTTTTGAGCCTTGGTGTCAAGTCAGAAACTGTTAGAAAGAGTTCAGGTAAGTGGAGTTCCTATTTCATCCACAATAAAACATATGAATCAATCATTTATACCTCACCTCCTCAACAGGTAAAGGAGAGAAACATTTTATATTGAAAGAAAATCTCCATGGACTATTCAGTTCATGTCTTAAAGTTAACCCAATAAATTTAAGAAGATCAGAAAGAATTCTAAAGAAAAAAGTTGACCCCAACACTAGTAGATATTCAGCGTCAGAGTACTATGATAAGGTTAACAATGAAAACAAAATTATAGAATCTGAAGTAACTCCTCTTAATGAAAAAAGAATTTTTCTCAAAAATCAGTCTAAAAGCTTGTTTCGAGAGATAAATGAAAAGTACAACGCCAGAGCAGAATGTCTGAATAATAATTTCAATTACTTGACTCCACCTCAAGACACCCCCTCGAAAGGAAGTTGGGAGGGAAGAGAGATTTCTCGAAATTTCAGGAACTCAGATTCTGATTTTTGTAAAAATCTCTATGAAGAAACTCGTTTAGACCTAGGTCAAAAGTGTTTGTTGGATTGTCGATCAAGGATAGTAGCAAATATTCAAAAAATTAATCTCATTATCTCTGGTAAGGTTGACACAAGTCTAATGGAAATGGATCCATATACTCCTACTAAAAAAAATAATGATCGAAAAAATGAAGAAGTTAAATTCCAGTATGTTCCTAAATCTCAGTGGGTATATAATACACCTCCTAGACAGAGAATGCAAGTTCAAAAAGTGGAAGACTGCCAAATGCAACCCGCAGTATTATGTACAAACAAAATGCAAACAAATATTTACGAAGTGAAGAAAAATTTCAAAATAGATCTCAGTAATTACACTAACAGACAAGGTGTTGAGTTCGATAAAAAGTTCCTGACACGTGTCGGATCCTTCGAACATAATGAGGACGCTGATAAAACAAATAACACTGGCATCAAAAAAGTATTCAGCCCGCAAGTAAATACTGAGAATGGGATTAGCACCTTCAATTTTTATAAGAGTTTGTCCCAACCTTCCGGAACTTTCGATAACACTGTAAGTTTGTAGAAAGAATCTAAGTTGTTGTTTCTATGCTATTATTTATCAAATTTAAAACATGGTTTCAATTTCCAGTTTCGTGTGGTGAAACCTACATCAGAAAATCCATTTTATAATCTGATCTCAAGACCTAAAAAATCTGTGGGGATGGAAACAAAATTCAGTAATGTTATGAAGCGCAAACTGGATCAAACTAATAGTCCTGATGATCACTTATTCTTGAGTCAACCTAGTTCAAGCCATACAGCAAATGAAAAATCTCAAAATATTTCCTCAACTGAAATTCGGAGGGTTCAAACCCCTAAATTCAATTTTGACTTCAAAAAGAAACTCTTCAATGACAGAGAAAAGTTCTCTTTTGATAAAGATAAATCAAATTTGTTTGATTTCAGCCAATGAACTTTTATAGAATTTCTGTAATTGATATTTTGGGAGAACTGAATTTAATTTTATTTTGGGTTTGACTAGTCATAGAGAGATAACTGCAATATGATAATTTGTTTGTTTTCATATTTTATTAGATTAATATTAGAATATAAGAGAATTATCGTTTGGTTTTGGAAAATATACTTGTGAGTTATAGTTGTTTTATTAAATGTTTTAATAAGAAGAATTTATGATAGATTTATAAAAAATAGTTATGTGAAGCAATTGTAGGTATAGGATATTTTTCACTCACTGAATAGTTGTGATAAGTTTGAAATGGTCTAAAAGAGCATTCCAAAACTCACTCCGAAACTTGACCTAGTATCATCAAAGTATATTGTTGTATTAGTATTTGTATAGAAAAAATTGCATTGATAATAGTTTTCACATATTTGTTTTATATTTTTCAAACAAACATATTTCCCTTGATTGTTTTGTTCCTTCAAATACAGATTTACAGCTCAGTGAAAACTATAGTAGGTTCTCTATTTTCAATGCACAATATATATGAATAAAACATTTTCCATTTTTGTTTAATTTCTATGTCACCAAAACCTGAAACCCACATTCTGTATCGGCGGCTTTGTTTTGGGAAACAGCATCACAGTTTCTATTTGAAGAGAGAATGGAGTGGTTCTATCATTATACTGGAGCTTCCTTTAATGGGGTCCCGCCCAATTATACTGAACAAGACAGGCGAGAATTTGGATATTATCTACACTTTTGGTGTAGTAATCAATATTACTGGTGTTATAGCCCAACACCAAACCGCTATTTTAACACCTCAACACGTGGTGATCATCTTGATCACCAAGTGATCAAGAGGAAGATTGAGATGATCACTTGGTGATCGAAACACATGTCGAGGTGTTGAAATAACTGTTTGGTGTTGGGATAAAACTGCCAGTAATATTCACAGAGAAATTACTCAACACAAAATATACTCCACGGATTGGAATAATAGATGGAATAGAAACTGATCCAGTTTTTTTATACACACTAGTGAAAGGTATCTTAAACACAGTTATCTTCGGTTCCTAAGGCAGGTTTCAAGCGATGAATTTGTTGAGTGACTGAAAGGTAGATCTGAAACCATTGGGGTAAGATAAAACAAAAACACTGCTTCCACACACCAGAACTGCAACACTCTACTCGACGGGCATTTTGCAAATGAAGTTGGTGTCATCATGAAATGAAGTTTACTGCAAGATCATATCCTGATGGTGTCAACTTAGTTGGGCTGAAAGCGTCGGGAACAGTGTTGCAGTTCTGGTGTTTGTGTTTAGTTCGTTGTACAAATGAATGTTCATAATAAAAATAATATATTCTTTATTTCATATAAGTATTTATTATATACAACACACTATATACATATATATGGTACATACAAACATCACTTCAAAATATTCGGTTCCAGATTCAACAGAAGTTGTTTCACTTTATTTTTGAAGACCCTATGCACTGTGATCGACTTGAGACTATTTGGTAATTTATTAAAAATTCNAATTGAGATTGAAGATTTACACAATCACCTACTTCCCTAATTATAGAAAATAATTTCAAGTCATCCGCGAAGCATAACCGCTCACAAGCTAAACTTTCACATAAGTCATTAATAAACAATATGGTGTTTTAAGAAAAAACAAACGGTATTCATGTGTTCTCCAAAGTAGATCAAGGTCCTATAATGCTTACTATCGCTTCTTAAAATTGTATTATATGGACAGATTGATCGCTTGTTTCAGAAGTGTTTTAGAAATAATGGAGACTATAATATTCACCTCACAATCATAAATGACAGCCAACTTGTTTATTGAAACACAGTTGTCTCTGAAATTGCTTTCTGAAAGTGGAGTACTTAATATTTTGTGAAGCAAACTACTGAATGTTGCTACTTCATGCTAATATTTGATAGTTTAGTATTGAATATGCCTGGAGAAGTTATTTTATAGAATTGTGGTTTAGTAAACTGTTTAGCAAGAATACCATAAAGTGTCGCTTTATTAAGTTATCATGGATTTCCAACAAGTATTGGTCAATTTCATCAGAAATTTTTCAACAGAAAGAAAAAGTACTCGGACTTGAATTCATAACTTGGTTACAAAGTTTTTTCAGTACTGACTGAATACTTAGTATATGGAAGAGATAGCTACTGGATAATTAGGTACTCTGGACAGTACTTTGTACTGGGAATATTAATAATTTTAAGATTTACAAGAACTGATGTATTAATCTGCCACAATGCTAAAAAAGTAGCCATAGTTGTAATTTCATTTCATTTTTATTTGAAGAATAAAACATATTAGATCTACATACAAGATAAAATACATTTTAAGGAATGACTAAAATACGTATATATAAAACGTATGTATATATAAAACTTAAATGTATAAAATATATAAAGTATGATGTATAAAAATATATATAATGTGAAATGTATAGAATGTCAAATGAATGAAATATAGATAAATGTATGAATATATACCGTAACAATAAAATGGGAATTTATATTCAATCACTGTTCATATCCATGAACAAATGCAGATTTTCAGCGATCAACTGAGTAAATTTTCGGAAGTTGTAATCAGCCAAAACAATATAATCAGCTATAACAATATAATAACATGGAAACAAATCTTGTGTTGCCTGATCTACAAACCCTAATTAGTCTAAATAATGGCTTTTAGGGAGTCAACGAAATCAGCAGAATACCTCCGCTTGGTACTGAATACTTACATACTTCTGTAGGGTACTTACAACAGCTCTGTAGTCTTCACTGGAGAAATTCCACCACAATTCACAAAACAGATCATGCTTATCTGAATATACTGACAAACAAAAACCTGATTTTCGCTGCACTGAAAAACTGCAAATTGCCCCAAAGAAATTTCTTTTACTTAGATCAATGGGATAGGTTTCATTTAAAATTGATTCAACTTTTACATTTTTCGGGAAAGCATTGTTAGCGCTTCAAAGCTCCATCTTCTAAAAAGGACCGATTCTCAAAAGCGAAGCAGCAACCAATAGGGTTGTGACCCCTTTTATTATTCAAAAACAATTGTGATGACTCCCCACTCAAAGGATCGAAAGTTTTAGGTCAAAGGTTGTTTCTCTTGCAAACAAATCTGCTGTTTAAATTGAGAGTATTATATTTCAAGAAGTTGAAAGCAAATTTCCGAGTTTATATACCCTTTTCTTTTTCTGAAAATAATCTCAATATATTTTTCTTCATTTCAATTCAATAACTTCTGTAATGTCTTGTGATTGACTTCACTATCTTCTTGAAATGTTTTTGTATTCCTAACAATAATCTAAAAGTCATCAAGTCATGTATTTGGAGGTTATCACTTGCAATAGTAACAATGGTATTGTTAATCTCTTCGCAAATTATTTTTCTACTACCTATTCTGACGAAAAGGTTTTTCAAATTCCGCAATACAAATGCACAGAGAGTTTACATGTATCCTACTTCTATATTGAAACAGCAGAAATAATCAATCGACTCATGATAACCCCAGGAAAACTCTCAGTTGGTCCTGATGAAATTCCTTTGCAATTTTAAAAAAACTGCATATTCACTCTTGCAAAACCCTTACGAACATTATTTAATCTTTTTTTGTCTATGGGAATCTTCCCTGAATTCTGGAAGCAAAGTTTTCTAACTCCAAACCACAAATCTGGTGATAGAGAAAATATTAAAAATTACCGTACAGTGAGCAAGCAATCGGAAATTCACAAGTTACTGGATTGTTTGATAACTAAAAAACTGACATTTGATACAAAAAAACATAATAAATAAACACCAACATGACTTAATATCTGGTAGATCCACCACTACGAATTTATTGCTTTATCAACATTTTCTTTTGAATAACCTAGAGGAAAAACACCAAATTGACTCTATTTAATCTATGATAAATCATGATCTTCTCATGGCTAAGCTCCTAGTATTAGGCATCACACTATTTATGTGTTCATGGTATAATGGCAAGTCCGTAAATAATTAAATTATCAATAATACAAACTCATTACAAAGAAAGATTTATTTTTTCACTTTGTTTTTACCTTTTTATCCTAATCAGCTAACAATACTTTTTTGCATAAATTTATTTGTCTGTCAAAAAAACATTTTAAGTTAAGTAGACTACAATTCCAACAATAAATAAAATCAATTTTGCCTTAGGTTGTAGTTACAATAAATATATTACACTTTAACAGCAATTCTAAAAGCTTCGCTTCGAAAAAATATATACAGCGTGTTCATAAAATATTGTCAAACGAACAAGTAATGTTCGAATCAAATCACCAGCTCTAACCGTGAATAGAAGTATAGAGATCCAGTCTCGGTGATGTTCAAGACCTGCCACTTTACATTTTTTATATGTTAGTAACCGGACCAGTTTTCAAATTGGCCTGTTACTGACAACAGAAATTCATTTCATAACCATTAACATCAATAGTTTTCGCAATGACTCGAAGAACACCCTGTACATGAAGAGATCTATAACAGAGTTCGGTGGAACTCGAAAACAAGTAAAAGAACTGATAAAAAAACTAAAAAGAGTTGAAGCATTTGATTGCTATTGCTTAATAACTATCTTTGTACACTTATCAGAAATCAAAAATAGAAAGACAGCTAGTGAGACATGTTTTTTAGAGTATGTGCACATAACATGTAGATACTATAGGAATAATTTTCTTATAAAAATTGACTGATATCTGTTTGGAAAATTTGAGCCACTTTGAAACGTTCTCGAACTATCACAAATACCTTTTAAACATTCTAATTCCATTTGGTATGTTGCTGATATGAGATATCACATAGAGGTAAAAAATTAGAGCAACTTTGGTATACAATGAAAAAACAGAAAAGTTTTGTAGAGAAACATTTCTTGAGGGAAAATAAATCAAAGGAATTTAACTTTCTGTGCATCTGGCTTGTATCACTTTTTAAATTACTACATTTGTGTCTCAATAAATATAATTGAAAAATCATTTACATTATTGAGATGACTACCCCACTTGAATAATTTCAATTCAATAAACAGGACGAAGGGAAACATGGAAATTTTTCTCTGAATATGAACAGAAAGTATCATTGATTTTCCTGGTTTATTAGAAAGTTCATTGTGCTTCACTTCTTTGCATATTACATCCAAATGGAGAAGCTAGAAGATAAAAAATTCTTCAAAAGTATATCTACCGAAATAAATGTTTATATTAAATGAAGCTCTAAATTCAGAACAAAAAACATTTTTCATGGTTTATAATGACCTTAATGAATCGTGACTGGACTGGTCCAGAAAATCCCCAATAAAAAAATGGGGAGGTACACAACATCCAAAAAGAACCTATTGTCCTTCTCCTGAAATCTGAAATAATTCGACAACCTTCAGAAGCAGTACAAAGTCCATAAATTAAGCGTAACATATAGCCTAAATTAAAAAATACCTGATCAGCCTCCGTAAATGAAATACTCTTTCAACAACCATATATTAACAAATATGTTAAGTATACACTTTCCTAAAATGTCACAGCGATCTTTGTATCACCCGCACACTCTTTATATACATTTATTCAAAATATGTCAATCTGAGATCTCTTGGATTCTAGAAAAGTGTGCAGCCAGCTTGAATTGTCATTTTCTAATATTCACGTATCTGTTACATTTGCGCTCTACAGAATTGCTGCGTCTATGTTTCTACTAGGTATAAGGGGACTTAGTGTACCAGCAATTTTCTGTCCACATTCTATCTCGTAGTGTGTGTCTAGAGGAATACCTGCGAATGAAGGTTTATTTATGAATACACTGACCCATTACTTGATAAAAATTAATAACACTATCAATAATAACAATTTTGAATAGATCTAAAGAAATGAACTTCAAATGTTCAAGCCAGTCTCGGATATACCTACGCAGTAGGTTAAATAGACTGACGCCTATCAGAAAACAACTACTCCCCTGGCTAATACGACGAACGGCGTTGGATTATATTCGACAGGCGTCAGTGCAGGAATCTTCACAGAAAATTTCCTGCATATGCAATTGACAATACAACTGAAAAAGTCGGCCTCCAATTTTGGAACGGGCACACTTGCAGACCGGTTTCGGGCTCATTAGCCACTCGTCAGTACAAGATAGTAGCCATCATCGACTTAAAGTCAATGATATTCCATATTCCAGCCAGTCTCGGATATACCTACACAGTAGGTTGAATGGAATGAAGCCTATCAGAAAACAACTACTCCCCTGGCTAATACCACGAACGGCGTTAAATTATATCCGACAGGCGTCAGTGCAGGAATCTTCACAGAAAATTTCCTGCATATGCAATTGGCAATACAACTGAAAGAGTCAACCTTCAATTTTGAAACGGGCACACTTGCAGACCGGTTTCGGGCTAATTAGCTCATTAGACGCCTGTCGGATATAATCCAACGCCGTTCGTAACATTTGAAGATTTAAAATATTCTTAAGTGAGTAAAGGGGACGCACAGGAATTTATTCAGGAAAGATTTAAAAAAGTATTTCAGGAAACAAAGGAGGAATTGGAAAAAGTAGTTGATGAGAAGCTTGAGAGCGTTGAAAAGAAATTTGAAGATGAGCTTGAGAGAGTCGGAAAAAAAATTGAAAAGAAGCTTGAAGGAGCCAACAAAACATTTGAAGAGGTTTTCGGGGAACTTCGGAAAGAATCACAGGAGTCCAAGAGGATCGCTGCATTTCATTCTCAATCAGTTCACTGGAGAAATCAGTCGTTGTAGTTTAGCATGTTTTGATTAAAAGATTTCATTTGACTTAGTACCAAGTTGAATTGAATATCCTAAGAAAAGTATATATGTGAGTAAAGAAACAATAGCCTCCAAAATCTTATATGAACATTTTCATGACCTCAATTGAGTCTCATATGTCCTGGCGGGCTTCAATATTGCCTTGTACAGAAGTATTTTATTTTCGAGAGACAGTTGAGACTTTTGTCCAGTGAGCCAGTAAAGTTTTCGATTTTGAATACCAAGTTGCTTTCTCATAGTGAAAATATGTTTTTGCTAGGTAAGGCTTTTGTTCAAGTGCAATCCAAGGTATCTCACATAATCTGCCTGTGGCAATGTTGTTAAGTGTGACTGGAGGACAAGAGTCTCTTCTTAGAGTGAATGTTACATCAACTGATTTTGCTTCATTTGCTTTTATCCGCCACATTTTGAGCCAGTGGGACCTGTATATTGGAATCAGAAATTGAATTGTAAAAAAATTATTTTACTTACTTGTATCAACTTGAGTTTTGGTTGGTATGAACGAAGCGACGAAAAGAGCACAAATGACTAGAAATGCTCCAAAAACAAAAGGTGGACCTGGCACAAGCTGCAAAAATACAGAAATCTTAAAAAAGTGAATAGCTAAAAATATGGTTAGGTACATACAAATCGTTAACTTGTTTTCAATTAAAATAGATAGTTAGTAGAGATATGAAAAAAAAAATTAAACTTGATTTAATAATCTATTTGAAGAGAGA